CACAACAAAATACCTTGGGTCAGCCCCGCTTCCCTCTATATCATGCCTAGAACCCAAGACTTTCTGGCTTCTCTGTTGATGGTAGCAGAAGTAGCGAGGAACCAGAATGAGACACAAGGCATCCTCTTGCAAATATTGGCAATAAATGTTGAATTCCATTAACATAACAGAAGTTGCACTTCCCTTCTTTTCTTTCTTTCCGCTATTCTTTCCTTTTACCCTTTCTCCTTTCTCAGCTACTGAATACCCATCCTCCCTTCCTCTTCATATTCCCTTTTACTTACCCGCGGGCCTCGCTTGCCAGGTGGTCCTGGTAAACCGGGAAGACCTGGGAGACCCTATAAAAAGAAAGAAAGAAAGAAGGCAGACATTGAGCTTCAAATTACACCAAACAACCATGAGCAGATGTCCTCCAGGGCAAGAAGGCAAGTGAGATACAATCTGCAAGAGATAAGCCCCATTGGATCACAGCAAGCTGCCTTTCACAAGCCATTTGATCCCACTTTAACTACCATGGCTGCATCCTGGGATTTGGAATTGGATGGACCATAAAAATATCAGATCCCATTTGATCTTGGAAGCTAATCGAGGTCAGCCCTGCTTAGTACTTGGATGGGAGACCTCCAACAAATCCCAGGCGTTGTAGGCTTTGTTTCAGAGGAAGGAGCTGGGAAAACCACCTCTGAGTATTTCTTAGACTCAGGAAACACTATGAAATTCTTAGGGTCACCATAAGTCAACAGGCAACTTGAAGGTACATCTTGAAGGCAACAAATCCTGTCTGATCTTGGCAACAAAGTAGGGTCAGCCCTGATTGATCCTTGGATGGGAGACCGCCAACAAATCCCAGGTGCTGTAGGCTTTGTTTCAGAGGAAGGATCTGGGAAAACCACCTCTGAGTATTCCTTGGACTCAGAAAACCCTATGAAATTCTTGGGGTCACCATAAGTCAACAGGCAACTTGAAGGCACATGCATCATGAAGGCATCAGATTTGATGTTGGCAGCAAAGTAGGATCAGCTCTGATCAATCCTTGGATGGGAGACCTCCAACAAATCCCAGGTTTCAGAGGAAGGAACAAGGAGAACCCCCTCTGAGTATTCCCTGGACTCAGAAAACCCTGTGAAATTCTTGGGGTCACCATAAATCAACAGGAAACTTGAAGGCACATCATGCACACATCAGGTACTTTGGTGGTGGTGTTGTGTGCCTTCGAGCCCTTTCCAATTTATGGTGACCCTAAGGCTATATCATAGGGTTTTCTTGGCAAGTTTCTTCAGAGGAGGTTTGTCATGGCCATCCTCTGAGGCTGAGAGAGTGTGACTTGCCCAGGGTTGCCCATTGGGTGCAGCTAAAGAGAAAGCAACATGAGGCCACTGGCCTCCACCTCCCAATAATAATCCTGCTCCCCAAAATGAAATGTTTCTTCCATCCCCAGCCTTAAATAGAATTCCAGCCCGTACCTTTCAAAATCCTACCAAGAAATGCAAACTTAGAAGCAGTTTTCCTTGCTAGAGATTAAAGCCCATGTGAAAGTGACGTGATCTCTGGACTATTTATTATTTAGACAGGGTTGGAGGGCAGAGGGAGAAACCCTTCAAGGACAATTTCAACATTTACACCTCGGATGCCGACCGACCGAGGTCAAACAGCGGCATTCTTTGGATTCAGGGTTTCCAGCTGGACCAGCCGTGTCCAATTGTCCAGAAAACTACCAGAGCTCTTCATGACCTTCTTGCATTCCCTTCCCTCTTTGCTCTCTTTGGCAGTAGCATCAAGGCCCAGAATAAACCAAGGTGTCTCCTGGAGGATTTATGAGCAAGTAGCTCATTGGGAGGGATGGTTTTTTCCCCCTCCTTTTTGTATGAAGGGAGAGGGAATGAGAGAGACCAGAGGACATAAGAATGCTTGGAAGGCGGCCGGATTTCTCAAGAGCTTTGGAAAACCCAGCGCTTTGACCAAAAGTAGACCTCGGCTCTCAAACAGGCCGCAGCCTTTGCAAAGAAGCAGGTGTAAATGCAGGAAAAGTTGAGCAAACTGGGTTACAGGCTGGGAAAACAGACCACATACCCTCCAAAAGTCCCAAATTGGCCACGTAGAGCCAGTGTGGCATAGCGGTTTGAGTGTTGAACTACAACTCTGAAGATTAGGGTTCGATTTCCCATGAAACCCACTGGGTGACCCTTGGGCAAGTCACACGCTCTCAGCCTCAGGGGGAAGGCAATGGCAAAACCCCTCTGAAGAAACTGGCCAAGAAAACCCCATGATAGGGTTGCCATTTGTCGGAAATGGTTTGAAGGCATACAACAACAACGACTACGATAACAACAAAGTCGAGATTAAGCCTCTGTCATCCAAGTTTTCTGGCCACTTTTTTGAAAGTCTCATTGCATTCCCACAAATTGCAAATTGCAACCACACAACATATACATAAGCATGTGTGTGTGTGTGTGTGTGTGTGTGTGTGTTTCCCCTCCAATTGCCCCAAACAACCTCTCTAGAGTTGAAGGGGTCAATTCCACCATATTTTGGGTGGTCATTTTCCATTTTAGGCCCAGGAAAGGACTTTTTTTACAACAAGAAATGACCCAGAACTTGGAAAAAACTGAACCTGGGGGATTCTGGAGGCCAGAAAAACAGCCTTTGGAGATGCAATGTGGCCTTCAAACTGAGTAAGAAAGCCGGGCGTGCATCCACCTCCCCCCCAGAAACATCCCTTCTCAATATGTATACAGCAGAAATTCTTAACTTGAGAACTGTATATATTTCCAAGAGCTTCCTCAACGCCAGATATAGTCATCCAGTCATATGTTGTATATTTTCCCTTGCTGTATTTTCCGAAGGGCTTAAATGGAAGCCTGAGCTGTAGGATGGGATCTTGCAGACAGAGGGAAAGGAGGATACAAAGGGGATCAAGATATCCTAGCAGACTCCCCGGTTCTTGGAAATTTTGTTAGTTCACAACTGCAGGGGTATATTCACAAAAGATCACAAATAAAGCAAAAAGCCAGGCAGAACACCAATAATAAAGATGGGGCAGATCAATTCGTGTATTAATACTAGTCGAATACACCACTGTTTATTCATAGTTGTTGTGTGCTTCAGGTTGTTTCCAACTTATGGCAACCCTAAGGCAAAGCTATCGTAGTTTTCTTGGCAAGTTTCGTCAAAGTGGCTTTTGCCATTGCCCTCCTTTGAGGCTGAGAAAATGTGACTTGCTCAAGGCCACCCAGTGATCCCCAAATTCTGGTCCTCCAGGTGATTTGGACTTCAGCTCCCAGAAGCCCCAGCCATCTTTGGCTAATGGTCAGGGATTCTGGGAGCTGAAGTCCATAACCCCTGGAAGATCAGATTTTGGGACTCGCTACTGAATAAGCTATATCATCCTTTAGCAAAGTGATTCCCAAAACTTTGATCCTCTGGGTGTTTGGGACTTCAGCTCCCAGGATTCCTGACTATTGGCCAAGCGGACTAGAGCTCTTGGGCATTAAAGTCCAAAACATCTGGAGGACCAACGTTTGGGAACCACTGCTTTAGCATGTTCATCCACTTCTTTCCTGCAGCCAAGTCACAATCGTGACCACCAACTACATTTTCTCTTCCCCAGCCTTTTCTTTTGCTAACCACAGTGGGCTTTTTTTTTCTTGCACACACACACGCACCCAAAAAACCCAAGCAACATCTGGGAATCCCTAGCAACACAAGGAGCAATTTGCAATCTTTAGTCTGCAATTTGCCCGATCAAAGCGGGACGGGCACAGAGATGAGATAGAACATGCCGGTTTGGGAAAAGACTCCGGCTGCAAGCCTGAATTCATCCGAAATGCTTGCCCCAAAGGGTGGAAGCAATGCCAGAGCGGTTACTCAACCGGAGAGCTATTTATTATCAGCATCTGCATTCTGAAGACTGCATTTGTCCGGCTGCATAAATGTTAAGAGGTAACATTTCTCAAGATGTCATCTCGCCCCGCCGTCTGAGCCTATCCAACAAAGTTCTACAGAGAGAGACTGAGCAAAAGAGAACAATGCCTAGAAAAATGAGTCACCAAAAGAGTCACGGAAGCCAAGTTGAACATAGGCTGCAACCTTTCCCTTACTACTGGGCTGACTTTATTATCTGGGAGGTCAAAGCCAACCAAGCCTTAGAGGCTCAGTTGCTCACTCTTTCCAGACTAGATTTGGGAGCCTGAACTTTCTGCAAACTTTGGAGCGATCCTGGTTTCACGTTCCCCCAAAATCCATTCCCAATTCCAGACCCTCCAACAAGAAAATCGGGACACATGCGTCCAAGTAACAAGTTATGAATGAGAAACAAGACATAAACTAGGAGATCTGCTGCAGTTTGCTTTTCCAGGAGATGACAGGGAAGTGCAACGCTCGAATTTCTACCTTTCCAGACAGAAATCTTAAGATTATATCTTCACATTCCTTTGGTCACTTTGCCTGCCTCTTTGCTTTGGATACATAAACATTATTTCTAATGCTCAGCTGAGGTTTAAAGTTACTTCAGTGCTAGAAATTTGAGGAATGGAAGGAAATTGCCATTTGGGGTTTCATTTGGGAAATTTTCATTTGGCAATGCCTTCCTTTTGGCACTCCCTGCACCCAAAACTGTCTTCTCAGTCTCAATTCTGTCTACACTAACTCTCAGCGGCATTTCTAAAGTGGTTCTCCTTGGCTCCTATTATTTCGGACAACTGGGAAGGCTTTGGCAAAGCCATGCATTCTGCCACAATAAAACCCAGAGTGCCATGAGATTTCCCCCAGAACTGCGGTTATTTAAAGAGAATTTTATAAGCCATTAAATGCCAAAACAGAAGCATGATTCGTTTTGCAGAACCCAGAAGGAGGTGGTTGGTTGTTGTGTGCCTTCAAGTCATTTCTGACTTATGGGAACCCTAAAAGGACGCTAAGCGAGATTTGTCCAGAGGGGGTTTGCTTTTGCTTTCCTCGGAGACTGAGAGAGTGTGACTTGACCAGGGTCACCCAGCAAGGTTCAATGGCTGAGCAAGGATTCGAACCCTGGTCTCAGAGTCCTAGTCCAACACTCAAGCCACTGAACTACGCTGGCTCTCACACAAGGAAAGACCATTCCTCAACAAAAGAAAGGAAAAAGGAAGAATGCCATGGGAGGGCAGGTGACCTCAGCGGCCATTCTCTGGGAAAGAAAATAAGGGTTTATTTTTCTTTACCAATGTTGAACCTTAGAAATGAGACTTGCAAATTTCAAAGAGGTGTGCATTCCATAGGATAACTGCATTCCATTCTGCGTATTAGTTCAGGAAGTGCAAATGAGGTCAGTTTGCTTAAAAACATCAACTCAACAAAACTCTCCCTAGTCATTGCAAGTTTCCAGTGTACATACATGTGCAAAGAAACCAGCGCGGTGTAATGATTCGAATGTTGGATTGCAACTCTGGGTATTTTCCCGATCCAGGAAAAGATTTTCCAAGGGTCAAGTTTATCCATCTTGTGTTCCTTCCAGCAAAGGAACAGGTGGAGGATGCAAAGCTTCCCAAACCAAGTTACACCTCAGTGGACAAAGCAACTCTGTTCCTGAGCATTACATCTTTAGTAGAGAAATTAGTACCAGAAGCAGAAATAACACAGATTACGAAAACTTGTCACTTACCGGAGGTCCCCGGTCTCCTTTTAGTCCAGGAAGGCCCATGACAAAGGGAAAAAGAGTGGGCCCAATTGGGTCAAACATCTGATATCCATCTGTGGCAGGCGGCGTTGTTAAATTCACACTTTGCACATTCGTTCTGAGGACAGGATAAACAACTCCAAGCATTGGTTTGGTAGACAGGACAGCAGCAATGGTAGGATCTGGTTTCTTCAGCGATGGTGTAGTCATCAACTTCTTTGGTGTGGGACCCTTGGTCACACCCTGCGTCTTGGGTTTTAGGGTCACTGGATGGAAAGCATTGGCAGACTTCTCTGTCTTCTTCATTGGTGGCTTTGTAGCACTAGATGTTGCAAAGGACTTGATAGTTTGGCTTTGGCTGGTTGTGGCTTTGGTCACTTTTGCCACCTCTTTCTTATGGACAGCTTCCGTGGGGCTCATGGTTGAATTTGGCAAGGCCAAAGGATGGTTTTTGCTCACGGACAAATGAGGTTTCTCTAAACTCGCCTTGGAAGTAGAGCGAGATTTCTCAATGGTTGCTATGGTGGTCGTCCAGGGAGCTGCTTTGGAAGTTGGATGGCCTACCGTGGCTGTCCGGTGAAGCTGGGCTTCAGCATTTGGAAGGACTGGGGAGGACACCACTGTAGTTTTTGCAGCTTTGGTGGTTGGCGGTAGAGGTGATGGCTTTGACGGAACGATGGTGGTGGATGCCAACCCTGGTCTCCTGTTCCTGTGAGAAGTGGTGGCCTTGACAAATGAAGATGTAGGCATCACAGTGGTCAGGTTGGTCAAGCCTAAGAGGAAAAGATCTGACTGTGTTGATAGCGACGGTGAAGTCATTTCAGATGCACTTGGATCTTTGGGCAGTAGTGGGACAAGAGGCAGAAGATTCGGCCGATAGGTGTCTGCCTGCCTGCATTGTTTTTTCAGGAACTTACAATAGTTATGAGCTGCCTTGGCGGAAGGATAAATATCAAACTGGCACAGAGCACCCTCAAATTGCACCGAGTGCTGGTTGAGTTTCCCCAAGAGGAAAGACCCACCGGGATCCAACGTCTCGTCTTTCTTGTGGTGCAAATCCGCATGCACCCTTTGCTTCCCACAAGAGGTAAACAAGGTGACGGCTTGGTCTCGGATGTCTATGGCCAAGTTGTGCCATTGCCCGTCGTGTATGTTGTAATCGAAATAGACGGAGCGCTTGTGGCCTACGTAGACGATGATCTTGCCGGGAATAAACTGCACCCCCAGCTGTAGCTTCTTCTTTTTGTTCTTGACGGTAAACAGAAATGCGCTGTTGACCCGGTGAGAGCACAGGCTCAGCACCAAAGCCAGGTCTGTGCCAAAGGCTGCGGGAATGACCGTGCTGACCGGCACTTCGATCCGCGCACGCTGTGTAAGGATGACCCCCGACTTGAAGGGGATGACTCCCTGAGGAACGGAGCGTGACGATGCACCCAGAGGCCGTGGACCCACCAGGCCCAACCGCTGAAGGACATCCACATCTGAAATGGAAACAGGGAAGAAGAAAACCCAGGATCAGTTGGGTGTACAGTTCCCAGATCTCAAGGAGTTTGAGGCGTATGCATTTACTAGGCCAGTGCTTCCCAAACTTTGGTTCCCCAGGGGTTTTGGACCTCAGATCCCAGAAGCCCCAGCCAGTTTAATCCACAGTCAGGAATTCTGGGAGCAGAAGTCCAAAACATTTCCAAAACCAGAGTCTGGAAATCACTGTACTAGACTTACAGTGGACCCTCTGAATTGGCAGGATGGCAATCCATGGATTTGATCACCCACAGATTGCCACATTCCATATTATTCAATGGCAGTGTGTGAGTACGGGTGCGCTAACATATCCGTGAGCGCATTGCTGCCGATGAATAATATGGAGCATGACATCCATGTTTTTTGCCATCCTCAGTGAGGACAAGAACTGAACCCCCAAAGATAGGAAGGGTCCACTGTTTGTTGTTGATAATTTGTTGTTGTTAACTGCCCTGAAGTTGACCTGACTCATGGTGACCCTGTGGATGAAACATCTCCAAGACCTTCTCTCCTCCACTGCTCTGCTTAGGTCCTACAAATTCAGACCCATGACCGCCCTAATATCCATCTAGCATGCGATCTTCCTCTCTTTCTACATCCCTGTACCCTTCCTAGCATTATTGTCTTTCCAATGAATCCTCATGATGTGGCCAAAGTACAACAGCCTCAACTGGATCATCTTGGCTTCCAAGGCTTGATCTGGTCAAGGACCCATTTGTTGGTCTTTTTGGCCTTCCATGGGATCCTCTGCGCTCTTCTCCAGCACCACATTATCTCAAATGGATCAAGTTTCTTCCTGTCCACTATCTTCATCTGTACATTCGGGAATACAATGGCTTGGATGTTTCTAACGTTAGTGCTCCGTTGTATATCTTTGCTCTTTAGGATCTTGTCCAGCTTTTCATGGCTGCCCTTCCCATTCCTAGCCTTCTTCTGATTTCTTGACTGCAGTCTCCTATCTGAATGACAGAGTCTTCTGTACTAGATGCCGACTTTATAGGCTTGCCCTAATATAAGTGAAGGGAGGGGAGAATTAAAACATCAAATGCTATTTCAAATGCTCTTTTTAGATGTTCTAGCCCACCCAGGTTTTGCTGTCTTCGTGGTTGCATATTGAATGATTTCCTTCATATCTCTGGAGCCAGCGAAAATGAACTTTTAAAAAATGCAAGAAAGCCATCCAACTTCTGTCAGATTAGCGTCCATCGTGATCTCAGGCCACAGAGGCAATATTAAGGAGAAAGAAGAGCATCAATCCCTAATTTTGGGCCAAAATTTTCCAAACAACTAGCAGGCAATGGAGCTACCATGACTGTTCCCCAATATTTTTGGAGGAGGGGGTTATTCAATGTCATTCTGCAAGCTTTCTTCTCCTTCCAGGCCCCACAGAAGAGAAAACAGCAAATCTGTTTCAGGGTCAAGTGGAAAGCGCATGGAAAGCTTCCCTCTTTTACCTCTTGGGATGAAGAGGCTATTTGATGGATAGCTACTGCAAGCGTGATTTATTAATATCTGCATTTGCTCCTGGAAAAAATTATGCTCTTTTTGAGAATTCCCCCTCCTCCTCCTCCTCCTCCTATGAAATATTGGTCAGGATCTACCAGTTTCTCAAAAACAGCAAAACCAATAAAGGCTGTTGCAGCAGAAGCTCCATTGAAGATAGCATTATGGCTTTGAAAAGTTCTTTACTCTTTCCAACTACAACTCACAAAGCATGCTGGATCAAGCAGGAGTTTTGGGAGTTGTGGCCTCCAAAAACACCAATATACAAATATATATATATAGTGTGTATTTGTGTATACATATACAATATACATGCATACAATATATGTAATACATATATACGGTGTGTGTGGCTGGTGTGCCTTGTGTGCCTTCAAGTCATTTCTGACTTATGGCAATCCTCAGGCAAACCTATCCAGGGTTTTCTTTGCAAGATTGGTTCAGAGGGGGGTTGCCATTGCCTTCCCCTGAGGCCGAGAGCTTGTGACTTCTCCAAGGTCACCCAGTGGGTTTCATGGACATACCAGGATTTGAACCCTGGTCTTCCAAGGTCCTAGTCTAATGCTCAAACCCATGCTGGTCTTTTATATATATACATACATACATACATACATACATATACAAACACACATATATATGCACAGTACATATATATATATATGTATATATATATATATATATATATATATATAAAATATACACACATACACACACATATACTGTATATATACATATATAGATATATATACAGTATATATATTTATTGTGAATATATGTGTATTGTGTGTGTGTAAAATATATATATATATATATATTACACACACACACAAATATGTATATACATATATACAGTCTGTGTGTGTGTGTGTATGTAATAACAACAATAATAGTTATAATGATGTATATTTTTGCATACAAATATACACTATATATATACACACACACACAATTTTGTGTGTGTGGATATATAAGCATACAAAAAATATATAAATGCAACAACAACAACAATAGTTACGATGTATGTATTGTGCATATATGTATACACAAATACACATTATATATATATAT